AAAAGAGAAAGTATATAATACTAGAGAGAGAGAGAGAGAGAAAGAGAGAGAGAGAGAGAGAAAGGGAAAGAAAACTTGAGTGATCGATATTTTTTTCTCTTTCTCTCTCTCTCTCTCTCTCTCTCTCTGTCCCTTCTCTCTTTTGATTTTTTCCATGCCAGTCACGCTTCTGTAAAAATCCCGAGCTGTCGGTCGAGTAATAAACCGTTTTGACCAGCAACGTGTCTCGATTTTCCGACTGGATCATCTCTCAAATATTTTCTCAAGCTTCAAATCGTGACTTTAATATAGTTTACAAATCAGAATGAATCTGTAGTCAAATCTCTTTTTTTTTTGTTCACCGTTAATATCATTATGGCATCAATTTTATCATAACTCACAAGTATTACATAACGTATTTTATAAGAATCATTTTGAAATATAATGATTATATTATATTATATAAATTGTTAGAGAAATATGAAAATAAATTTTGATAGTGAGTTTCTCTCTTAATTATTGTTACGTATATATAAATGAATAATTAATTATATTGATTGATTGTATATTAAGAACCTTTTTAATGAAAAACAATATAGAAGGGTGTATGTAATATACGTTCGTCCATCGTAATGAATCGGCAACCTTCTCTCACCAGTTCACGTATAGGATCACTACACATACGTTTGGCTAATGCAGCGCAAATTTGGCACATAAATATTGCAGAGAAGCGACAAATGGATCTGAGCCATGCGCACGTCACCGGTCAGACGTAGGCTAGCGGTATTCTCGGTAATTTAACGGAATACACACAATTAGGTGAGGTAATTAATATTAACGGTAGCGGCTAGAGCGTAATTACAATTAGATAACATCCCTGTGATTAACACTATTGTTCGACTCTCTTCATTCTTATTCGACCCCAAACGTTTGCGTTTTACTCGAAAAACCATTATTTATATAATACTTTATATTATACTTCGTATAAGATAAAAAATATGAAATATATTAAATTAATGCATAAGTTGTGTGGATATCGAGTATATCTTATCTTCTTCTATTTATCATTTGTGAAAGAGGTAGATAAATTCTTTTGAAAAAAAAAAAAAAAATAACTGCCCCTTTTTTACAATCACCACGAATGCATTTAACCGTATAAACCCTGATAAAAGCTCGTTTTCACGATTAATACATTAGCACCTAGGTGCAATTTCCTCTTTCGTACGAATGAACATCCCTCACGTAGGATAACGCGGCGATCTCGCATAAATATCCGTGGAAAGTTTATTACGTCGATAATGCATATCGGTGGAGACGTCGGATCTAGGGCAAAGGGGATGAAGGGGATGAGGGGGATGAAGGAGGTGAAGGAAAAGGAAAAGGGAAGGGCTGGCAAGGTGTGCGCGCAAAGTAACCACCGGATATATCTCGGCATTCTTCTTGTCCATGCATTTTTCTGGCTTAACGTGAATAGCGAAGTAAGGTGCGACGAGAGAAATGTATACCAACGTTAGAAGGAAAAAAAATCAAATCAAATCGTCGTGGAAGGGAAGAGATAAGTCTCTTCTTCTATTATTCACGAGACACACGGTAGCACTTTTCAAACAGTTATTGTAAGGATAACAATGTCATCTAAGGGATGACGAGTACTATTCAATGACTCTATCCAATAAAGCTTACCTATCGATATGCTATAATATTTCTTCCCTATCGATATTTCGTTCTCTTTAACGAACCTATCGATTGGAAAGTTGACAAAAGAATTTATATATCTATGATCAAATTTCTTTTTTTTTTCTTTTTTTATAATCATTATGATTTAAATTATACGTAAAAAAATATGAGACAAATTTTGAATATGTAATGACAAACAAATATCTAAATGCATGATTTCAAAATAACATATATTTCAATTCAATTTTAGGATAGATTTTTTTGTAAAATGAGATTAATCTTATCTTATAGTTTCTTGTGGCTATCGGATTGTTGTCTCGGAGAGAAGGATGTGGCTCGTTGGGGCAAGTTGGCACGTCGACAAATATCCGTTTGCCTTCATCGACGTTCTTAGTGGGGGTTGAAATTACTCTTCTTAGGCGGTAGCTGGTAGAATGGAACGGCCGCGATGGTGGCAGTCCACGTTTTCGGCAAAGTAGGAGAGAGTTATGCGTTTGCGTTCTATGAAAGGCCAACTAGCAGTTCCAAACCTCCTTTCGGCTCTTGTCATTTGTCTTCCTCCTGAGATAGAGAAGCAAAGTTTCAAAGACCACTCCAAGTTGCGTCCCAGGCGGTTACGTGAGAGTCTCCCTAAATTTTCTCTCTCTCTGTAGAATTAATGGGCCGAGCAGCCAGTTGTGATATCTTCGTTAACCTCGCGAGGGTCGTTCTCGATGAAAAGAATATATGACTCTATGTTAGATATCAATAGTATACTTAAACTGTATACAAATCTATACCTATACCTTTCCAATTGATCTAATATGTACACGTTCCTTCCAATCGGTACTCTCATCAATTTATTCTTTCGAAAAAGAATAAATACAAGTCGAAATAAAATATCTCGCGCTTAATTAAATGTGTATAGTAGATACACCTAATTTATATGAAAAAAAATATAATTATATATATTATGGTTACACGTTGATAAATGTTTCATACCAAGTTTAACAAATCATTCCAATATATTTGTAAAGCTTTGAAGTTAAGCTGGTATTACATATGACGTTAACGAGAAGATCTTCAAAGGGAAAGAGAGAAAGAGATAAATTCATTCTCGTTGATACTCCTGTTCGAGCATAGCTTGAAGGAATAAACCGATTATCGGAAATCGATTACATTCGAACATCGATCCAAATCGTCGCAACCGAGTAATTATTAAACGTCGAACCGTGGGAGAACGATCGAGTGACGGTTGTATTCGAAATTTCCGTTTCTTAAGAAGCTTTGTAAAAAAGAAGGAATAATGTTCAACGGTAAAGTATCCCTGCAGCAATTTTTTATCGATTATAATCAGAAATAAGGAATTCAGAAATGATAGTGAAATATTTGTTTTGAACGCATTCGCGCATAATGATATTAGAAAGCATTATTATTAATTATCTCAAGTAAAGAAGAGTAATGTTGAAAGTTGAAGAGAACATTAAATAAGAGTACAATGAGAAATATACCGTGACAAAGAACGTGCAACGTATTTTGTGCCACGCATTTGGCTCGTTAAGAAACCGTTAACAATACGAAGTAAAGACATAATACTGTATTCTGCTAATAGGAAGGTAGATTTAATAATTATTCTCTCTCGCTCTCTCTCTCTCTCTTTCTCTCTCTATCTATCTATCTATCTATCTCTTCCTTTCTATTAAAAAATAAATTATTTAAGAGTTCAGAGAAGATTTTTTAAACTTCTTTTATTACTTATCAGTAATAATAAAAGTTTCAACGACAAATACAAACGTTTCTCGATACGAGAATAAGAAGGATACTTTATAGCTTTAGGTGTTAGAACGAGTACATTATCGAATCCGTAGGAAAACACCTGGATCCATGGGTTCAGGTGGTCGTGAAAATTTCAGCGAGATACTATAGTCCTCCTAATAAACGATGTTATGGTTTCTTCCAATAAGAGACATTTGAGATCTCGTTTTTCTTCTTTTCTTTATTCTATGGATTTTATTTCTATAATATTTTCTTTTCATTTCTAAACACTTGTGCGTTCTCTCTTGAACATGAATACATTAGATATTACACAGTTGCTTCTCTCCGAGCTTACTTTTTGAAAAAGTCATTAAAAGTGTAAACATTAAATGTGTTCTAACGAAAGTGCTTACTGCACTTGGAGATGCACGAACAGATATGACGAACGAGTTGGTGTAATTAGACGAAGTAAAACATTGTTCTCTACTGATGTTGTACAACTACTCAGAGAAAACATAAAGAGAAAGTTTAAAAGAGAAATAAAAAGAGTAAGAAATAGATAAAGTTAAAGAAAAAAAAAAGAAATATATCGAATATTTTTACTTTGGCCGTTCATGGTTCAGTCAGGTCGAACATAAATGTAAGGTATCTTGGTTCAAGACGGATGGAGGCACAACTATGCCATAGTCGCGCGTGCCAAGCGTGGTCAGAATTTATGTCGACGTAATAGAGCTCCTGCAGCTCTTCCTTCCTTCCTTCCTTCCTTCCTTCCTTCCTTCCCTCTCACCCTACTACGTCCCTTCTCAACATACACTCGTACACATTCAAACACATCTTCGGTCGAATCTTCTATAATCATCTACCACTTCATTATTCAGTAATCAAAAACGAGCTTCGTTACTTCCACGTTGATTGCTCCTTGTTATTTTATTCGGTTTGGATTGACCGATTTTACTTTCAAACGAGAAATTTTCTTCTTCTTAATCGACGAAACTTCTACCTGGATAAAATGTTTCAAATCGATTCAATTTCAAATGTATCTGCTACGTATGTGTATGTATATATATATATCGATTCGCTTTCGGTTAGCCTACATTATTACCAAGCGTCATGCTACCTCGCACGATCTTGATTTTGCATTGTAATTTGCGGAAATGGCTAACGAAGTTGCCAGCAGATTTCCATCATTCATCAAGTTTTCGAAGCAACTCTAACAGCGGACGCCGACTATTTTCAAAGGCCGCAGACCAATTTAGCGTAACCCGAAGGGAGCCATTACCAGCCACTCGAACTACGAATGCCGATCAAAGTTTAATTGCGCTCTTATAGAAGTGAGGAAGATAGATATATAGATCGAGAGAGAGAAAGAGAAATACACACATATATATCTGTTAACGGATTTCGGCTCATTCGCGAATAGAATCGTCGATGACGAGTTAATAGCTTGGTCACTTCTCGTATCGTGTTCACGTTGCATGAAAGAGAGAAATAGGAAAATAAAGAAAGAGACAGATATATATTACACATATATATATATATATATATATATATATAATAAAAAAAACAGAATCGTTTATTAAATCATTTTTATTTTACAAGAAATCATCAATCATTATCTCTTACTTGTAAATAATTTTATAATATCTCTCTTACATATAGTACAAATGTTTATATTTTATTTGTTTGTCTGCTTTAACATAAAAAATTAATGTCAACACACATTGTTATTCGGATACAATGAAATATATCGGACAAATAGAAGATACAAATGATACTAGGTACTGGTACTGACATTCGATTCTCTTTCTAATTTTATTCAAATTAAAATATTGTCTCTCTTTAGATGTTTCAAATATAAACGTTATCTAAAGATATTTGAATAAAAGTTTAATTGATATTTATATATATAATATATGTATATATATACAGGATGGTCTAGTAATTTATAGTGCTAACAGTTAGTGGACCATCCTGTATATAAAAATATTGAAATTTTTAAGAGTACATGGTACTCAAATATAATCAAAATATCGTGCTAACAGTAGCACGCAAGGAATTATTACGATTTATACTTATTAATTATGATTGATTTTTTTTTAGCATATCAACACCTATGCCAAGATGTTATCTAATAAACAAAAGGAAATATGAAAAATATCTCGAGGATATTTGATCCCTCTTCTCCAAAATTTGTCGTTACGAGCTTCGCGTAGATCCGTTTGTTATAATTAGAAACAACGTAGTAAGTCTTTATTTTACTCGTTTCTGTTGCCTTTGTCGGTAAATATCATTCGCTGGAGGTGGTGGTAAATCTTCTTCTTCACTATCGTCTCCAGCTAAACGCGTTCTTTTACGTTTGGAACCAATACTCATACCATCGTTGCTCTCATCGACGATCCAATGAACGGATTTGGCTAGATCGAATAATTTGGTGTCACAGCCATTATCCGCGACTGGTAATGGTGCTGTAAATATTAATTCTTATGAATTATTATTGATCTAAGATATTGATAAAATTCTAAAAAGTTTTAAAAGTTTATTTCATGTTGAACTCGAACTTACCGTGATCAGGCAATTGAATTCTACTAAATACATCCATAAGTAAATCGACTGCAACAAAGGGCCCTCTGAAGCAACCAGGTGGTGGTAATATCGTGCATAATTGTGCTGCGGCAGGTGGTAAAGGAAAAGTTCCACCTGTAATAACGTTAACAAAATCATGTTAAAAAAATCATCAACAAAGAAAATGCTTATATTATATAAAAAAAAAAAATATATTTATCTACCTGGTACTGGATGTTCTCCAGGCAAAGCATTTACTTTTGGTTTATAAGGAATCATTTGTGATAAATCGGGTCTAGGCAAAGATGCTATGGCTTCTTCTGGGTCAGGTACTCGTGGCACTGCACCAGTTGAATTTCTAGCTACGCTAGATACTTCCATATATCCGATCGACCTTAATTCCATTGGCGTACAGGGATACAGATCAAGAAATTTATATCGATCTACCAATTGAGCCGTTTCCTTTCCTTCAAATTCTTTAATCTAATTAAAAAAAAAAGAATATTTTTATAGTTATGTAATTGTGGGATCTTGTTTTATTTTAGATTAAATAAAAGTTCCTACGTATTGCCGCTGAAGCTGGTTAAACGGTTAATTATTATTGAATTATAAGTACAAATTAAAGACTCACTAAAATAACTTTATTATACAAACCTTCTCTAATACGGCACTACGTCTTTTTTCAACTTTAACGATACTGGCCAAATCTCCTATATTAGATTCAAACTCCAAAAAACGATTCCAAATATCACTGAAACATTTATGTAACAAATATAATCGTGAATGTTAAACAAATGCATAATCAAATCTCATATTTATGAGAAAGAAATACTTACACAGATTTTTCTGGTTCTAAACTTCCAGAAGATAATACTCTCTCGAATAAAACCCTTGTATTATTGTCCTCTAAAATATTATATAATTAAATTAAGTAAGTTATATAATTAAATAAGTAAAAGAAAATAATCTAAATATACTGACCATTCAAATGTGATAAGTAATCAATGTAACATAGAATATAATCAGGATTGTCACCGAATTTTTTCAATCCAAGCTCGAAAATTCTAAATGCAATATTTTTATCTTTGGTACAGTAGTATTCCATCAATGCAGCAGCTACGTATACGTGATGTTTGCACCGTGGATCTTCGCGAGCTCTTTTAAAAACAGTCCTAGCTGATTTAATTCCTTCTGCTCGTCTCGCAAATTTCATGTATTGCACGTACGCCTATAAAGTCAAAAAAATATCGTTTACACGATCTATCATAGATCATGTTTCAGTTTGATTATTAAGAATACTAACCAACGTAGGATCAATGTCAGGAATGTCGAGGAACTTTTGATAAATTTGATGAACTTTCTCATATTTAACTCTGCCTTCTTCAAAATCTGCATGAGCAAAGTATAACAACATATTTTTGGACAACAATGTGTTTGTAGCTCTTTCAAACATTGTTGCTGCTTCATCGCTTAAATTTTTAGCAGCATTAACATCTCCCTTTTCGGTTAAAATCTTTGAACTAAGTTCTAGAAAATGGGCAGCTTGATGCCATACTGCAGGATGATGACCGAGGCAAAGTAAACATTGCTCTATCGCAAACATTACTCTACGTGCAACGAGTGATGTATCTTCTGTTCTCAATGGATTACTACGTTCCCATGCAATATACTTTTTCCATAATTCAACCTACAATACACAAGAGTAAAATATTCGTATATTTAATAAAAAGATTTTTTTCTAGACTTGTAATATTTTCAATAATTACTTGTTTCACTTCTTCTGGATGACCAGTTGGTGGTACACTAGGAGCACTTCTGTTCAAACCCCTTGTTACCGCTTCTAATTCTTTAGCAACTCGCCTAGCATTCATATAATCTCTCGATCTCTCTAATCCCATTTTTTCTGCGATTATTGGATTAATACTTTGTTCGAATACTATGTAATCTTTCCATAATTGTTCCATGTTTATCATGGGATTAATAACGCCGCGTTGGTATACCTGTAAAATATGAAAATATTTTAATTATATATAATTAATATTAGGAGGGGTATTTAAATAAATATATGTATAGTTTATTACCTTACGGACAGCGCTAATCTTTTGGTTCTCAGCATATGAACCTACAGCTTCTACACTTTTCAAAAATGTAACATAGTCGTTCCAAATACTATAAGAGTGAATATCCATTCCAATTTTATCCAGAGCGAAGTCATAAGCTTGTGCCATTTTCTCCCTAAAAAATGAATAATTATTCGTTATGCTTATTTTATATTTGAATTTTTTAATAATGAACTCTTTCAAATATATTGAAGCATCATGCTTACTTGTACGTTGCAAGACTTGCTTTTGTTTCTTTGACATAAGAAAGGTAAAGTTTCCATAATTCAATGTTTAAGATTTTCATGAGGCACCTTTGGAAAAGCTGTTAGACAAAACAACCAATTTAGTCTGATCAATAGAGAATTAATATGCCGAAGATATATATACTTCTGTCAACACTCAACCATAAAATAAGACACATATCTACCACCTTACTTACCCACATAGGCAAGTTTTCTTTCTATGCATATAAAATATTATCGGTACAAATCACGTCATAGTAAGAGAAAGTTATAATTTCATTATTTATTTTGCAAAATGTGTAACAAAATATACAATAGTTATAATATTATGTATATGCATATATTTTTATGTGTACGTATATAGATATATATAAATATTGGGATAAATAATAATGCACAAATGCATCAATTGAGAATGGTTTATTGCATAAACATATCCTTTAATATTACTATTGGGTAAAAAATCTTTCACGGATGTGACCATTATTTACAATTGCTATAAAATAAGCCCAACACAAAATAAAGAATATTTATTTATTTTTTTAGGCAGGGCTATGAAAAAATTTAGCAAACCTACGTGGGATCTAGAAATGAATGATCCCCAAACGATAGAAAAAAAATGAAGACAACACGAAGCAACACAAGGTGAACGGAACAATTATATTAATATTGTATATAGCAAAGATCCAAGATAGACTTTTATTGTAATGGATTGTTGACTGAAAATCATCACCTTATGCTACCTCTTTAAATATATCACATTACTTGAGGATATTAATGTTGCCTCAAATAATTGTGATTGGATAAGGTCTGCTAGGAAACTGTGGAATTTGGTAATTGATTAGATTGATCAATTACAAACTTATGTTTGTAGATGAGATAATAAGATACCACAATATTCAGAAAATAGGAGTAGTAATTGAACGCATTAACTACCACTTTAATATTCACAGTAGAAATTCTGTATTTATCAATTTCTGAATCATTTGTCACTTTGTTAGAGGTATTCTAAACACAACTAATATATGTAACAAATGTACCGCAGGAAGGAATACAAGGCTGTTATATTCAGAAAGTTGTCTTCTTAAGTCGTTTCATGCAAAATCATTTAGATACGTAATTTTTTATTTCATCATAGAAATAAGAGAATGAAATCTATCATTTACATAAGAAAACAACCTCCCAAATGTATCAACAGATCAGTTATTAATTAATGAAATAATTAACTTATGGTGAAATAAAATGCTTTTATTCACCTCACATGATATGTAAAGTGCTGTGTATCACATTGTAAGATAATATTGAAACATTTTAAGTTAGTCTGACAATATAATTTGTGGTGCTACTGTAAAAAAGAAAACTTAAACATCAATAAGTAATGTTGTTCGGTTAAAAACACCATTTTCTTATACTTTACAAATCTAAACTTGCATTTATTATATGAAAGTAAGACGCAGTACACATAGACTATGTACACTGTGTTCTACATATAATAATTAATAACTTGAATTTTAATATAAGCAAGAATTGTAATGTAAATTGTGTTTATATATTTTAACTGAACAACCTAAATATCATGTTGGCGTAAACATTTAATTTATTTTTACTTAAATTTGAAAACTCAAACAATTAATGTTAACATACCTTTTCAACCTTTTCAAAGTTCCGCATTTTCATCTGAAAAAGATGATATTTAATACGTTAATCATATAGTTGTATACAAATTATTGTAATCGTAATAGAAATTGAATACCATTTACCATACCTCTTGTTCTATATAAATTTTCCAATACCGGCCTGCAGACGGAAATACAGTGATGAGCTTTTCAAAGACTGGTCGAACTTCAGTAATAGGCCTATTTTGAGCTTCTCTGATTAAGACGCTCCAAGCTTCTAAATCATAGGGCGATTCATCCACTGTTTTTTGAGCACGTTGTAACTTTTCATTGCCCCAATCCTAAAAGAAATAATACATAATTATAGAAATATTTTAGACCAAAATTTTCAAACTCAATTTTGTTGAAAAAATTAATCAATATATTTTCATAAGAATATATTATATGTTTTGTAACCTTTAAAGAAAATATGTAAACAATTTATAAAAAAAATATATATTTAATAAAGTATTCGCCAAAGAAAAGGTTATCCAAGCGATACCATAACTATCTCTAAGAACCTCATAAACTTACGAATTCTGTCTTATCCTCCGTCATATTTTATTCGCTTCTTATAAAATAATACTAAAAAAATAAAGTCTTTATTTAAATAATAATCTTTAAATTATTTTAAACTGTTTTTTTTCACAGTACACAGAAACAAACTATTGCATATAACAAACTACTACTGCTTACAATGAAGTACCACGTTTATCGAACTAACGGTTCAACAATCGATATATCGAAACATTCGATTGGAACTAGAAAGAGGATCTTACGCAACAACATTCAATCCATATTACTTTTGTTTTAATATTTTATTTTTGAAAAATGAAAGTAATGTTGAGCTAAGGCTGTGTTTAATTTACGTTGCATTTTTTTGTTGTAAATTTCTGGACAAATGTTTAATTATTTAACTTTACCATATATAAAATCCTAATTTCAATTTTGTCCAGTCAAAGAATACAGAAGTACATGGAAGCTATCAAGTTCCCTTTTATATCTACCCAATTTCATTTTTGTTACTACTGGGACCACCAGTGGGCGATAGTATGTACTTAACATATACCAACTTTATTTTCATTTTTTTCAAAGTGCGCTTGCATTATAGGAACGCTGGCAAGGAACCTTACAGCAGAAAAAAATAAATATATGCTCTTAATTGCACATTATTTTCTCAATCAAAATCCTTAATTGCTCACATTAATAAATTAATAATTTAATTAGTTGTTAATATATATATATATAATTGAAAATACATAAAATTTTTTTCTATTTCTAAGCAAAGCAACGAAGTTTGCAACAGCAGAAAAAAATGAATAAGTTCTCCTAATTGCTCATTACAAATAGTGAGCACTTATTTATTTTTTTCTGCTATTAAGGGTATCGGCTAGCGTATCTACGGTTAATTAGGTATTTATTCACTACGCTATTTTCTGCTAATATAAGGTTATTTACTTTATCGACAGTTTTGCAGAGAGTTTATTCAGCAGAGCACGTGCATCTTGTAATTCGATATATCGACTTATCGTCGTAGAGCGCTTGCATCGTATCTCTCGATATTCGTTAAAATTCAGTATAGGTGTCTAGTGTTTGGTATCTTAGGTTAGGGTAGTTGTTTTCGTAATTAAAATCTTTTACCGAGATATTATTGAAATGTCATAACGTTGTAATGAGTTATTTAAACAATTACAGCGTTTGAATATTCACATACAATTTTATAACGAATGATTGACAGTTTTTCGCGAACAAAATTCAATGCGTTATGGAGTGAAGATAGCCAAAATATTTTCTATAACTTTTTTTTTTTAATTATTTTATCATTATCAAAGTTTTATTAAACTGAATTGATTAAGATTAAATCAAAGGGTATATTCAAGAGAAAATGGCAACTCACGAGTTGGAATCGTCATATATGTCCAGAAATGACAATAATTGGAGGAGAAACATTATCTCACAGCTTCGCGAAAGGAACAGGATTGAAACATTTTGTTTTTCTGATCTCATCACTTTACGTAAGCATTATTTTGATCTAATGATTATGTAAAATAATAGCATATTCTGTTTTTTATCTGTACTCTAGTTTGTAGAAACATATATTATTGTAATGTAGACTTCAATATGTTAATGTTTGAAAGGATTCTTAATTAAAATTTCATGTAAAAATCATCTGTTCTTTCTCTCTACATTTACCTTATCTATTAGTATAAATAATAAAACTATATTTGTATAATTAACGATGATTTTTTTTTAATAGATAATAGATTATTTGAAAACGTAAATACACTACGTTGTCAAAATATGCAGTTGACAATATCGAATGAAAATTTAAGACGTGAGAGTTGCAATAGTCCAGGACCAAGTGCCAGTTCAGTTAACGAAGCACGCCTGAAACAAACTGAAGAATTAACCGCATTACACAAGAAAAATGGAGAACATATGCAACAAATTGTAGATCTTAATAAGAAAATGCAAGAAATGATAAAAGAACTACACGCTAAAGAAGCAAGGTATGCGTTGAATTTTGTCAATCCTGTTAACCTTACAGTTATTTCTTAATAGTACAAAATATTATATGTTTTCTTCTAATAAGTGACAATAATTGTTATAAGTATTACAAATTTTGTTTTTTAGTCTTGCGGAATGTAAGGAAACTAACAGCATATTACGCTCAGATATAGCAAAATATCTAGCTAGAGAAAGAGAATATGAGAGTATAAATCAAATGCTTAAGGATGAACATCAAGCTTTGCAACTTGCTTTTGCATCTTTGGAAGATAAACTTAGAAAATCACAAGTATGCTTAAAGCTTAAACATATTGTATAAACTTTATAAAAATAATACTATATATGTCTTAAATTTTTTATAGGAAGAAAATCGTCAATTGGTAGAACGGTTGATTAAATACAAAGCAAGAGATGCAGAGAAAATGAACGAAGAAAATGATAATTTTTTAAAGTACGTAACTTTATTATGTCATCACTCATGTAATATTCATATTCATTTATTATAATTCATTTATTATAATTACAGTATCATAGTTCAGAGATAAAAAGATATATTTTGACGAATATTTTTATCAAATTTAGAGATACTTATTTGTAAATATGTTGATACTATATGCATTACTCCCACTTGTAGTTATTTATTTTCTTTATATCTTTTTTGAAATTTTCATATTAAATATTAATCTTGAATGCTTTGTAATTCTGATAATGCATGCATAAAATTTTACCATCTTTTATAGTATAATAGACAAATAATATACTGTATTAAAATATTTTCCAATTTTAAACCTTTTCAAGTTTGTTTGAAGTAATTCAATGAAGAGATTTTATATCTATGTTGTAAGAGATAAGGTATGTAAGGAAAGTAAATTTATGGTATAATGGAGTTGTATTTTTTATATTCTTTATATTGAACATATTATATGAAATAAAAAAATAGAAATCAAGTGGAGAGAAATTTAGTGTAATACATATTGCTTTTTTGTAACATTTGTTCTATATATATATATTGTAATATATATATATTTATATATTTACTGCACTGATTATCTTGCCTGCGCCACAAATTTTTGTTTATTGCTAAACTAACTATTCTGCTTTGCTTTTTTAATGTAATATTTGAACCACGATAAACTTTTGCAGATAGTATTTATTTTTTGATTAGTATTAATACGACGATAATAATATTTAAAATAATGGGGCTTTCACAGAAAAACATCATTTAGTTTTTTCAAAGCTTTCTAGATTAGCATTTTCCACTGTTTGAAATTTTCTTTTCAGTGAGAGTTTTACCAGTCCAACAGCCTTTTTGATGAATACCATATCTAAATTTGGGTAAGTTCAATGAAATGAAGTGAAACATGTTAAGCTTTTTGCTAAATAGCTTAAAAAGCCACTAGAGCTTAAAAGTATTATGTTATGAATGTTTATAATTATTACAGTGTATGTACAATGGCTTACGAAAATATTCGAACGATCGCCATTAATATCTTAAATAATAAAAATATGTATATTAGATTTAAGTTATTATTTAAAGTTTAAATAGCGAACATTCGAATACTTTTTTGAAATTATGTATGTATTACATTAATTTGTTTTCTTGCACAAATATATTTTATCTGCAAATAATTTATTTTTTAATTTCATTTATTATATTTGCAATTTGCATTGCACCGTTGTACGTATCAATTCCTCTAATCTAAGGAAAATAATTATTTAATAACTCTTATGATATATATCTTAGGTGATCATAAACAAACTTGAAAAGATATTTACTGATATAAAATGTGTTGAAAAGTTATGGAATATTTACCTTTGTGGGTAATAATCTAATAATTGTGTATATAAAATATAAGTATATAAATGCGTTTCCGCAGTAATACTTTTAAAGCTACTAACTTGGGAAAAATTACTAAGAAATATTTGGGAAAAAATCTATTAATTAAATGCTTGGCTCTCTCTCAATATACAGTTTGCTTGTGATTTGTATGTACGTATACATACACACATATATATATATATATATATACACATATATTTATAAGTTTTTAAAAAACTCTAATGAAATTATAAGAAAAATGGTGTGGTAATTACAATATACAATTTGTCTGTAAACTTTGCGTTTTTGTTATCGTTTTTTGATGTGTCCAAAATATTGATTATATTTAAATGAAAATTTTATCTTAATGTTATTAAATCTAATCTTCTATGCTATTTTACAGAAAACGACAAGCAAAAATGCAAAAAGAGTTAGAAGATGCTGCTCGTGATACACGACCTGTTAGTCCTGATAGATCGAGTTTAAAAGAAGGTGTTGCTGGTCTTCCTACTACAGTACCAACAAAAGTGTCCGTCTCATTTGTACGTTGATTTGTACTTAAAATATTAATTATTTATGCATTATTATAGTCATAAGATTTTTAATTCATATGGCTATTTACTATTGAATTTTATATTGATATTATTATCAAAGAATGCATGCCATAAATAATGAAAGAAAAGTATTATGCAGTTATAAATACTTGTTTTTAAATCACAATATCAATGTTAATACGGACCTGCTTATTTTCATGATTAATTTCAAGTATTTTGTCTTCGTTTGTTTCATACTTTTATTTAAAGTTTTCAGTATAAGAGTATATTCTGTATATTCTGACTATTTATCAACATATTATTTAGTAAAAACATTTATGCCATTTGTTCTAGCTATGTTTGTTGTATCATACTTAATATGTGCATACTTTATATCGCACATTATCTGATACATGCATTTTTCCTTCGAATAAATATTTTTCTTAGAAATTTAAGAACAAAGGATTTGTAATCTTATTTATTAAGATTTAATCCGCATCAAACAAAGTAAGCAAATAATTATTTGTTCATAGAAATTGATTAGTATAACAATCTTGTTATACTAATCAATACTCAACAAACTTAAGCTCAGTCAATATATATACATATATGCTGTTATGTGGCACAAAGTTCATTTTTTAAATTGATATTTTAATGTGGTATGCATTTTATTCTCGTTGTATTTCTTATTTACGCATGGTACATTTTTGCTATAGGATAGGTCTTTTAATTTGCATGAAAAAATAATATTATATCGATGAAATTCGGAAGCAATAATTTTTTTAAATATTGTTTTCTATATATATAGATGATAAAAAGTTTGTTGATAACCGTAAACTTTTCTTATTTTGAAATGTTTTTTCTTAAAACTTTATAATATAAGAATTTCTAGTTACATTTTTAATTTATTATGAATTATGTCAAAAAGCATAATATATTTTTGTATTTTACAGATTCTAGTTTATTAGCTTATTGTTCTGATTTATTTTGTATAGCGTAACATAGTGAAGCGACATACACAAATGTATTCTAGAATTATGAAGAGTATATTGCAATATGTATTACTTAATATAATGTTATAAATGCTTTTCTCTTTAAATTAAACAGATTTAGTTTCAAGCTTTAAATATATTGGAGAATAATGTAATATCTAGTTTCAAGATCACATTCTTTGAAAGATATGGAATTTAAAAGCAGGAGTTGAAACGTTTCCGAAAAAAACTGTTCCAAACTGTTATACGTATCAATTCTGATTGAAACAATTATGAGCACTGAAAAAATGTTATAATTGTTATAGATATAACAACTTTCGTCCATATCGGTTTCGATTACGGTTTTCTATAATCGATATCATATTGTTTCCATTTAGATTTTATAATTGCTATTATTTGATCCTATATATCGGTTCTATAGAATCCAAATTGATATGGGCGAAAATTCTCATATTCGTAACAATTATAATATTTTTCATCGATCATCATAACCATTTCCAACCCCTGCTTAAAAGTCCACAGTCCATATAAATTTAAAAAATAAGTAATTACCAACTGTTTTGCGCAATATAGAATTTTAGTCCGAAAATTAAACGATTACGATTAGATTTTTCGATACTATTTTTATTAGTAAATTATCTATAGTTTTCATTTTCATTGGAAATTATTATGGTATTTGATATTGTATAGATTGCAATGTAAATAAAGTTTTATGAAATAATATTAATATTAATATTATAATTTTTGTGCAATTATCATGCGTAGTTTTTAGAAGGGTTTACGGTTACAAATTTTCAAATATTAAGTGAACGAATTTTATTTTTACATTTTACGTATTTTAATTGGAACAAATTAGAAATAATTATCAGTACTTAATGAAATTTAATTGTGTCGAATTAAAAATTTCCGCCATATTTTCTTTAATATTTGTAAAGTTTTAATTATTATATTGTTTTTTTTTAACGAAAAATTTCAATAGGGTTCTAACGGATATATTATTTTTAACAATTACATCAACTTACTCGTTATTATGGCGGAATGTAGATTGCAAAACAAAAGGTAAAAGTTTTTAATTTTCCACGTTTGACTCGACCGAATAGAATGAATTTGTTTCGAAAAAGAACCTCCCTCCCCCCCCGCTCCGTTATTTGTTTTTGTTTTTGTTAGTTTAACGTTTATTCGTGCGTAATGTATGCATGAATTCTTTGAAATTTATACGCCAAGTATTTATAACCCTTCCAGAATGCTCACGAGGGAGAAGTGTACGCCGTAAAATGGTCTCCAGTCGACAGAATCCTGGCCACCGGTGGAGCGGACAGGAAGGTGAAACTGTGGAGTATAATTAAAGGTAATTGGATAACCTCTCTTCTCTGTAAAAGTTTTTGCATAAACGTTTAGGGAAGAATATCAATAATACACTTTGCCCTTTGCATACTCATTTACCTTTACATTTTACGTGCACACTTTCTATCATCTTCCGTATCTTTATAAACGTGGTAACGTTTATAGACACGAACATCGAAACGCTCATTTGATTAATGAAGATGCACGTGTTAAGAAAAACGACGATAAGTCAAAAGGGTGAAAATTAATACGTACAGACGAATTCGCAATATATACGTATAATTTTTTTCCCCGTTTTAAATATTCAAAGCCTCTCGGCAATTACGAGTTCTTTCATGTGCAAAAGTGTGATCGAGACCTCAACGAAATTTCGAGTTTTTTTTTGTATGATACGTCATTATCGTTTTCTCGATATAAAAAGATTGATCCAACGTTGGATTAATTCGAAGTTAACAAATGTTAGCGTAACAGTTTGCTAATACGTTTACTCATAATTAAACCGACAATCGATTACATTGTTTTAATTTTTACCAATATGATCGAACGAAATCTCTTCTCCTCTAAATCTTGAGCATATTTTTTTTAAGATAGATTAGATAAAAAAAGAATAATATATAATACGCATTCATTGAAATAGCAAGAACGTCGCAGAAGTTTCGGAAACGCGTCGTCGAGTTGCTTCGCGACATTCTTCCGGAGGGGTTTCTCTATTCCATCCACTTAATGAAGTATGTTAACGAATCAACAGGTTACCTTGTATAGCGTAGCCGTTGTGTATACCTCGGTTCTCTTTCGCCATAGGGATGCCTATTAAAAGCCGTCGGCCTGGCTGCCATTGAAACCGTTTCTCCGCGTCCTCCTGCGAAACGCTTTTGCGAAGTGCGACCGGGCTCGGATATAATGCGCCGCACCTCGCGATAATCCCCTCGCCGCGTTGCAAATTGGATGAAGCATCTGTACTTATTGTACGGCTTATACACGCTTTAGTATTACCTATATATATATACATATATATATATGCTATGTATAAGACCTATTTCCTTTCCTCGTATTGCGAGAGCGAAATATACGACTTCCTCGGACGTTTGCTTCCACCTTCGTCGTATTTCCTTTTCCACCATCCTTCTTTCCTTCCTTCCTTCCTTCTTTCCTTTTTTCCTTTTCCCATTTTTTTCACCTTCGTTAATTGGCTTTTGTGCGCACTCGATTCATTTATCTACCCATCGAGCTGTCCACCTATCCATATATCCGTCTCTTTCTCTCCTCCTCCTCTTCCTGCTCCTCCAGCTCTCCCCCTGAACCTCTACCTACGTTCCCTCCCACCCACCGTTCAGTCCATTCCACCCTCTAGCATTCTCTTTATTTTCTCATCTGGTTTTCTCATCGTCCGTAAGCAATTAGGGCGAGTGAGCGTAAATTTAATTAGCCAGGGTAAAGGGACTGTCTGTCTGTCTGTCTGTTCTCGGGAAAGAGAATGAGACGTATGACCTCGATACGAAACTTTTGTTTCAGGCACGTCCGAATGTAAGGGAGTGCTCGTCGGTAGCAACGCCGGTGTAATGTCGGTTGACTTTGATTCGACGGGTACCCTCATCCTTGGAGCTTCCAACGACTTCGCCAGCAGGGTATGGACCCTCAATGATCTTCGGGTTAAGGTAAGTGATCTGATGTCACGAAATTCTGAGGTTTCAACTTTTATTATTCTTTCAAAAACTTTCGAATCTTTTCTTTGTGTTCTTTGTTTTTTTTTCTTTTTTCTCCGCCCGCGGCATGATACGGCCGTCGAAAACGTTTTTTGATCGACCATGCCGACTATGTTGAAACTTCACGAACTACGTATTACGTAGATATAATAACCATTTCTTTTTACATGTTTTACATTAAGATTTATTAGCGTGTATCTACGAGAGAAGTGTATGTTTTAATAAGAACACGAGTTTATTTATAAAGTAAAGGGATAACACGTCGTATAGTTTTATACTACGAAACATTCGATCATCCGTTTTTATCTTTATAGATAGAGAATATTACACGTTTTCGCACTTAATAAGTATCTTTTTTTTTTATTTATCCAATAATCGAAGTGCTTACAAGTCGGGGAGATGTTAAATGTATTTTATTAGTTTTTATAAAACAGGAAATGAGGAAATGATGATCGATTACGATGGAAACGAAAAATCTTGCTTTATTCGTGATTAAGGTTTTCCCCTTTCTCGTTCTATCTATCTTCCTCTCTCTCTCTCTCTCTTTCTCTCTCTCTCTTTCTTTTTCTCTAGACGTCTCGTTATCCTGACAAGGTCTCTTCAAAGTGCCGCGAGTGTATAAAGCACCGTGATAAAGTATCTTGAGAGCGCGATCGTCATCGAAACTACAAAGCCTTCGACGATCGAACGAGAGAAAGAAAGAAAGATATAGAAATAAAGAAAGAAAATATTTCTCTACTCGAGTCGATTTTGAACTCTCGTTAATATCCACTTACGTGGGCGGGGCGGGGAGGGGAGGGAGAGAGGGAGACGACTGAACCTTTATTAACGTAACGCGTGACCTTATAATATCTTCTTTTGCAATAAAAAAAAGTGAAAAAAAAAAAAAGAAAAAAAACATAAAAGAAATTAAAAAATTAGGAAAGGTCGTGTAGGGTAGGTAGATAGGTACTTCGTTTAAAGAAACTTCTTCGTAGGAAATATGATAGGATTTCTACGGTTCTCTCATTTACATGCAACTCTAATGCGTTCCTTGTAGCCCTACGACTCCTCCACGGTTGATACACTTTACAGTCGAGGACCGATGGTGGGAGGTAGAAGTTACATTAAAACTTCTAATGAACGTCGTGCGCGTCGACCTCAACGTGGAACTATTCGCGTACCACTGTATAATTCTACTTCACGCGATACACAAAGCCGTGCTTTTGAGCGTCGGATCTAATTTGTATCCCCCTCCCCTCCTCTTCCTCCTTCTCCTCCCCCGGAACCAGTTACGCAACGTATGTATTCATCGGGTTATATAATAAAGTGAGAGAGAGAGAGAGA